TTACAAAATTTGCAAAATGAGATTGGTTTCTCAAATGTGAACGTAAAACATTCAAAATGAGTATGGTTTCTCAGAAACATCCTTATTCTAAAACAATTCATTTGATCGATAAAGTTGATCAATAAACCTTTTCAAACATTTTACCAAATTAATTTGAAGCTTGTATATATTTGTGCATGAAGTCTTATTAGCACACGCCACACCAAGACTGAAGCGCATGAATTGGCGAGTAAATATATACGACTAATTAGAACTATATATGTAGTTGACTGGGAAAATATGTTGGAAATCTATGTTTAGTGTTACAAAGCAAAACGCCTTTTATTTCAAAGTGTGAAAATTGACGCATTCAAATATTAGGAAAAACACTTGCAAATGGCCAATCCAGTTCTAGGTCAACACGTACGTAAGTCCTTATTATAAAGTCCATCCCAACAGCCCGCCAAAAAGCCCGAAGTCAAACAAAAGACTTTTGGTAATTATGTAGACCCCACATTCCACATAACGCTATAAATACTTCCCAGTACCAAACCTTTTCTTCTCAAACATATTCACAAACAACCTTGGTACTAACATATATACAAAGTTCATCGCTTTCTTTTCACTCGCAAGTTTTTGACAAAACTGATACATAGTTTTCCCAGATATGAATTCCGCAAAGATCACTTCCCTTTTGATCATTTTTGTCCTCGCCGTCGCCGTCTTGAACCTCGTCGGCTCAGCCGAGGCGGGCAGAGTGCTTTCGGAGGATTTTGGCGGTGAAAATCACCTGGAGAAGTACCCTTCTGTTTATGAGAATGCCAAGCAAAGCTTGACATTTTGGCTTCAACGCCTGTCCTCTGGCCCAAGCCCCAGCGGTCCCGGTCACTAAGAGCTGATTAATAATTATAATTATAACACCTCTCAAAGTTATGTAGAAATTACATAGAGATTATTAGTTCTAGTACTTTTTCCTTTTCTTTTTTTTTTCTTTTGTTCTTTTATTCTTATAGATTATTCTTTTGTTCTTAATTTCTTCAGGTCTTCTTGATCATGTATTCTTTTAAAGATATTCTTTTGTTCAATCATACAAATGATTCTTAATAAAAGTCTACTATTGATGAAGTATCATGAAGTGCCCTGATAATCAAGAGTCAAGAGTGACAGCTAACAGCTATAGGAAAATTAGAAATTTGTTATTCATTAACTCTCGTGATACATCTGCTCGAAAAAAATAATAATAATAACCATTGTTTTCATCATCTTATTATTTATGTCATTAAAAAGTATTTTCATAGAATATAAAATGTATCCTGTTAGAAAAAAAAATATATATATTCTATCAAAATATGAAAGATATCATACTAGAACGATAATGATATAAGTGATGCATTTAAAATTGAAAACAGAAATAAAATAGTATTATCTTTATGACATTCTTGAATTTCCCAGAAAAAAGAGTGCTCTTACATGTGGCAAGAAATTAAATGGAATTGTCTCATGGTAAAAGATTAAATTGGGCATATATTATGACAATTTTGATACACTAGTATACATGTGGTGACGCAATTGCGATAAATAACATTTTTCATTTCAAAATGAAATGAGTACGAAATTTTTTTAATTTTTTTTCTTCTCTTAGTTGCAGACGACAATATCGTTTGATCAACCATCGAAGAATTCTCTGTTACTACTTACTGCATTAAATTCTAGCCCAGCCTCCATCTACGAAGTAAAGATCTAAAACCACTTATTGATGTATTTCTCACTTCCGTAAACCAATGTCTAAGGACTTCTTTATTACGTCAAAGAACCCAAGTCAGCCTTATCAAGGTCTAAGGACTTCTTTATTACATGTTAACCAATGGATTCGGATCATACGTTCAATAATCAGTGTCTAAATTAATGCCTAATTGACCAACCAAACACATTAACTCATTTTTTCGCGACTAGAGCAAATAGAATTCCACTTTTCAGCACTTTTGACTAGGGGTGTAAATCGGCCGGGTTCGGCCAAGGTACCCCGTAGGTTTGGGCCGAGCCGATATTGTCAGGCTTAAAGAAAACTGAGCCGTGATACCCCGTAGAGCCCCAAAAGCCGAGATGCAACAACAGCTAGGGTTCGACCCGGCTCGGCTCGGGTAGTTGGCTTGCTTGTCATATGTGCTGTGTCAACTCCAACAGGAAAAGAGAACAAAACGGCCAACTTTTGCAAATCAATATAAACAAGACAATTTACTTTTGACTTTTGAGGAAGAGAGACACAAGAGAAACGAATGGAGTTTTGAGAGGATGATAAGGGGTCTGCTCATGTAAGGAGAAAAATTGATTGAGAAATAAGAGAGAGAATAATAGGAATTTTGATCTTTTGGGGAAGGAGATGGGAGACAAAAGAGGCGATGGCGGCAATGGTAGAGTATATTCATAGGGCTTACAAAATTTTTATTTATTAATGCCTTTTATTTTCAAAAACAACTTTTCTATTGATTAATGCTTTTTATTTTTTTTTCTTTTGAAAATATCTACTGCACATTAAATGATATAATATTCATTTATATACGCTAGAAAACTGAAAAAGTTAAAGATATAAAATTCATTTATATAGCATAGAAAACTAAAAAAGTTGAAAGCATTTTACATTTATTTTGGCCGGGTTCCGGGATATCGAGTATCGTAATCACACCACCGCAAGCTGAGCCGAGAATCTCAGTTTTTATTAATTTGACCCCGATTTAATTTTTATTGCTAGAAAACTCACGAAATTTGGGTGAACTCGGGTTGGGTCGGCCGGGTTTCTCGGGTTATCAGGGATTATGTACACCCCTACTTTTGACATTGGAGGAAATTGAAAAAAATAGAGAATTTATCCTTAAGATTACATGAGTCTGGACTTTTATATCATACTCTTAATAAATATATTTTTATTAGTATAATTATTTAACTAAAAAAGTTATAAATAAAAAATAAAAAATAAAAAATCTAATCCATACACTTTAACATATATTTGTCAAGATGAATCTCTACCACTAAATCTAATGGGCCAAGTCGTAAACCCAATAAGGTCCATTGAATGGCATACCAACTCCAAGTCCAAGATAATACTAGCCAGGGCAAATCCACAACTACCAAAACCCACCAAGCAAGAGCATGTATAAAACTCTTTAGGCTTCCGTGGGAATCAGAACTCAAACTTTTTAATATAATGTTTTCTCTCACGAAAATTTAAATTTAATTTTTTCTATTATAGTATTTTCAATCACATAAATTCACTTATTTCAATTCAAATTCTCAATTTAAATGAGTAAAACAGGGCGCGCGCCCTTAAACATTTGACCTTCACTTCACATGGCATGATGGAACAAAATATCACAAGGTCATTAAGGTCCCGTTCGGTTCGCTAATTCGAGTTTTTAATTCGAGTTGAGATGTGATGTTATATGAGAGCTTTTTACTGTAGTAAAAAGTTAAATGTGACTATTTCTGAGAGCTTTTTACTGTAGTAAAACTTGAATTCTAAACTTAAATTAACGAAATGAACGGGGCCTAAATTCAGGTGAAGCAGTAGTTCGAATGATGGTTTTATACAAAATGACAGTCGTTTTGAGAACGGTGATGGTGTCGTTGGCCATATATGATGAGCCACAACATTATATATAAGAAAGACTAGAAGACAGGAACGTACATTAGACATTATGGTGACCGAGTATTTTGGGCATGCTAATCACTTTTAGACACGTCGACACAGAGCCCCGGACTATCGCAATTTGGCTCCAGAGTATTTTAGACGCCCGTTTAGATCATAGGTTTCAACAAAAAAAAAAATTTAAATAGAAATTTAAATTTTAAGAGAAAAATCTTATAGCAAAAAAGTGTGAACATTAATTGAACCTATGAAACAATCACATAAAGACTTCTGCGATCAAACTTTCTGGCATAAAAAAAATGGTAGTGTAAAGTGTGTGTATATATGTATATATATATATATATATATATTTTTTTTTTTTTACCACCGAAGTTTGGTAGATGCCTCCAATTCTAGCTATAGTTCTAGTCTACTAGAGGCTCGCGGTCACTAGCTCACATAGCATGCAGCGTAATTTTTTAAGAAGTTTGGCTATATATATATATATAGTCTATATATATTATATATATAAGAATTTTAAGAGACGAATGTAAGATGATTCAACTTTTACTCGATGATATGCATGAATTAGTGGGGATGAGATGGCACTTTGTTATGCATACAATGATAGCTAGATAAATTATCATAAAAGTATCTTTTATATATGACATGTTACAAGTAATTAATAACATATAATTTTATTATTATGTTGGTACATATTACTACAGTATATAGCTAGCTGCCTAGCTGCTATGATCAATTAAGATTTCAATTTTCGCATGTTGAGACCGTTTGCCTGTGAACAAATTAACTACTGTTAAGAATCCATGGTAATTATCTGTGAGAGGCATGCGCATAAAAATTGAGAAATGATCAAATCTTCCTATGACTTTACCCATATATACTGAAATTATTATAAATCTTTTTTTTTTTTTTTACATTCGACTCTTCTCATTGTAACTCGATTGATTACAGAGATAAAGTGGACAAATTTGATATGCATCAATTCCATAAGATTGTAGTGTGGTATCTAATATTAAGCTCTAATATACATTGTTCATCATCCACACCACGTTGATTTTCCTAATTTCTCCTCGAAGAAAAACCAATATTTCATATATATATATATTGTATATATATTTATATTTATGTACAATAGTTGTACGTAGTATTTACATGATATTTTGTAAAACATAGAAAGAAGCACTTTTTTTCTTTTCTCGCTTTCTATCTGTCAAATTTTCTGAAATTCTGTTAGTAACTGGATTTCCGTTAGAAAATAATATGTAGCTTTCTACTGTCTGATATAGATATATATATTTTCATATCTGCTTAATTTCTTGTTTCTAAGGCTAAGCTTCATCAACAAAAAGATACACAAACATAAAATATCCTATAAATATGTATTTGTAAATTATGTATTATTCTTCATTTCCTTGTATGCAATTCACAAAGAAGCGCACACAACAACAATAAGATCCAAACATCAGAAGATAGAAATTCAGATAACCTTGAATTTCCTTAAATATTGACTGTATAATATTTGTATGCTTATTAATTATAGTATAATAGTTCTCTAACATATATTCTAGCTAGCAAGTAAGGTTTTCGCCAGGATCAACACCCAATTGGTTACAATACTCAGTGTAGTACTCAATGCGCTTCTGAACGGTGGTGGGGTTACCGCCGTCGCACTCGAGAGCGCCGTTAATTGCACGAATGGTGGCTCCGAAGCCTTCACCGATGACGGGGCGAACATTTTCCATCCAATACCACAAGGCTGTCTTGAAGGAGATGACGGGGTCGTTGGCGACAGTTTCGGGAGAGTTTAAGCCGTCGAATCCAATGCTTTCGCCGGCAGGACCGTAGTTGAAGTTCCAAGATAATTGGATTGGTCCGCGACCGTAGTACTTCTTCTCCGGGTTGCATGGATATTGTGTGTTTGTCTCGTCACAGTAGTCACCTGACGCCCCATTTATCTCTTCTATATAGCAAAAATCTGCAAAAAGATTTTTTGTTAAAAAAAAAAAAAATGAGATCCTATACTTTTATATGTTTAGTTCTTAATTAATTTCAAGAATATCCCCGAATTTTACTATTTAAAGGCCCGTTCTTAATTACAATTCAAATTTTATAGACATTGTATTTTTTCTTATAAAAATTTGAATTTTTATTTAAATTTTCTATTCAAACCTACAAACTAAATATGCCCTAATAATTTTGGTGATTTTCTATAATATTCAATCACATATCTCCACTGAATTATAGAATTTTTATTATGCCTCTGTTCAATGCTAGCTAAATAATAACTATGTCCAGATCACTCAATTAGGAACACAATATTTGACATTTATTAAGAGTTTCTGGACCCAAAGTCGGAGAAATTAATGATTAATCTAACTGATCAAATGCTAGACTTGATTCACTTAGAGGGAAAAAAAGAGAGAGCAAGATAATGAGCTAGTAAAACAACAAAAAGAAATTAAACTAATTTGAGTTGCATCTTATTATTTTTTCTTTTAATTAAAAAAGAGATCAGTGGTGTTCTCATGTCCCTATTCAGCGCTATAAGAGAAATTTACAGAACTATAGGTGGACGAGAAGAGACGACCTAGGAGTTGCATCTCATTGAAAATGAAATTTTTAGGTTCAATTTTGTTTTGTGTATTACGTATATATTAGAAGTGATACAGAATCTTATAAGTTGTATATATATCAGAGGCGTACTATAAGCATATATGTAGCAAATGCATAATCACATATCTATTGTATTTCAAAAATAAGAATCAGATGCGAGACAGAAAGAATATAAAGAGGGAGGTATGAAATCTTACGTCCAGTCTCGTGCGTGACATGGCCAAAGAAGGCTGCAATCTCGCGCTTAGAGTCATCAATGGAACCAACCTGACCAAACTCAGGGTAGGAATTGGCAGCCTCAAGAAAAACCTCTCGCGAGTAGAAGTTCTTGCCAGCGCAGCCGGCATCAGCCTGGTCGATTATGCCGTTGAAGAACTCCGGCGTCACGATGTCCGCCACGGACACATTGTGAGTGCTCGGCGTCAGCGGCTGCGTGTTGCACGGTCCCTCCTGGCACCCCGTCCCGCAGTAGTCGTCGCTTTTACCGCAGTATCCGTACCGGCTGCAGCACTCGTCCGCCGCACACCCGCAGTTTTGTGCCATCAACCGGGGCACGGCCCCGGCGAGAATCGCTAGGACCACAATTAGGGTAGGTGCACAATTATTTCTACTTCTTCTAAGAGGAGCCATTTTATTTTGTGTGATGGGAAATGAAGGTTATGAGTGACCCTTTTTATAGTGAAATAGATGTAAGTGGAATTATAAATTTATATATACGTCAGACATATTATATTGTAGTGTGGATATATATTGATTGGGGCTTGTTAATTCGAAAAGTGAGATTATATTCCATTGTGAAGGCTTCAAGAGGCGTGTGTTTTACGGGTCTAAGGGGTTGACTTTTGACTTTTTGACGTCCTATAACAACTTATTGGTGCATTATAGATGTTGAGGTTATTTAATGGGGAAGAAGAAATCAAAATGTCAACATTGTGGTACGTCCCCTAACAAATGGTAGACCTCAGTGGAGAGGTTCTAGATCAAATGTCTAATGGACATATATAGGAATAGACTAATATGTAAGCGTATCTATATGTATATGTGTATTAGATATATAGATATACACTATGTATGTATATGTGTATGTAAATGGACATATATGTGTAAGTATATCTATATGTATATGTATATGTGTATTATAGATATGTATATTGGTTCATAAATTTATTACATTATTTTCTCTCATAAAAAATAATTTCTGTTTAAAATTTCTATTTAAACTTATGAAATCAGGCCAATAGAATAAGCAAAAAAGTATTGATGCATGGTCTATATTATCACACTAAAATGAAATGTGAATGGAAGAAATAGGATTTCGACTCTTAAGTTTATTAATTAGGCGGAAGAAGCTTCTTTATGGCGAATCTGTTTATAGGGCGTTGAATGTGGATTTTTTATTTTATTTTTTATTTTCTTGAGAGAGAGTATATGGAATTTAATATAAAGAAAAATTTTCTTATGGTGAATATTATGAAAGTATGTACGAGTATTCTTAAGATTTTACACATTGCTATCTTTTTCCAACTTCAAAAAAAAAAAAAAAAAATTGAATAACCTATGTTTTAGTTTTATAATTGACTAGGTTTTTCGTTCATGTTTATCATTTTTCCATCTCTAAATTCATCCCACCCATTTATCTTGAAAAGTCAATTTTTATGAGTGGCATTCATGAATTGGATCTTTTTTTCTCCGCATGCTTGTTCATCTCCATATATACGAATCACCCCATATTAATTACCTTCCTCTGACCAAAGTGTGTGTATATATATATATATTAATTACCTTCCAATCCATTAATGTGTGGAAGGTGTAGAAAATTCTTTACACGCATGTCGGCAAAGTGAAAGTCGGGACAGTTGTCAACCTTTTTCCCAATGATCAATAAATAAGTTGTCGGGTAGAATATCATGTGTGATCAAAATATTTATTGACGTTTAATTAGAGGATTTAAATTATGTGATTTGAATAATTTTTAATTTATATATATTTTTTATGAAAAAAAATATTATAACGAATCACGATTTATAATTTAAATGAGAGAATAAATCTCTCTACTAAACATCCAAGTCTGCACAGCCCAACGCCTGAAAAAAGCTACACATGGCTCTTCCTTGTCAATCGCAAGACATAGATGAAATCAGATAGCAAAATTAACGAAGTCATGTTCTGTATCTATAGTTTGACGTGTAGATTTTATTTTCTCACTTTTTTATTTAAATAATATTATATTATCTTAATAGAGTTTACGTATTAAAGAGAATATAGAGAGGAATAAAGAAAATAAAAAAAAATAATTTTGTTAGTATTTTTCTAAATGACAAAAATAACTTATATTTATTATCTTCCTTTCAAAAAGAAATATTTATTACTTAATAATAATTTTTATTACTGGTTATTTTATGATGTTGTATTTGTTATGTCTAATTCAATGATAGGTGAACTTGATACACGGCATTACAAAAAATTATAACATTTTTTACGATGAAAACGGGCATTCCATTATATAAACTACCTTTGGCGTTGTAAATAGACATGAAATTAGAAAAAAAAAAAAAAATCTTGAATTAATCTAAAAGGTCCTCGAATTTTATACTAAATTCCAGTTTGGTCCTTAATATTTAAAAACGTCCCAAAATTAAAATGGATATGTTTTTGGTGTGACAAAGTTGATCTTTCTAACACCTGGCTGATAATAAATGAAGAAAAACAACATCTCACGAAGAAAGGTAGAAGAAGAAGATAAATAACAGTGACTTTGAGGCAAAGTATATAATAAACATCATGGAGTAAAGTGAAATTTCGTGTAAAGCTGGTAAACAAATATTTTGTTTTTAGATTAACCCAAAACGCTATGTTTATCATTTGATGAAAAACGACAACAAGTTATTAAAACGATGTTTTCAAGTTAATGCAAATAACAGAATGCAGTAACCCTACACGTTGTTTATGTTTTTACCTCGCCAATACTGTTTGAAGTTTAAAAGCAAACTACATGCCGTTTTAGGTAAAACAACACAAATAGGAGAGGATTCGCGTCGACGATGTTCAAATTGAACGAAATATGTTAGAGGGGCTCAAGTGAATTTGGACAGCAACAAGGTCCGGAAGCACATGAGCGGTTGGGCTGAACGTGAGGCCCAAGAAGGGGAAGCCCAGGAGAACATTCAGGGTGAAACGACTGAGGAAGAGGGTCGTTTTGCAGCTGATGTCAACGGAGAGACCAAAGGAAGCGAGGAGGGGGAGGAAGGCAGATCTGGCAAGTCCCGTGTGACCAGGAAGCGCGTGAGGTCGCGTTGGCTTCGAGATTTCGTGATGGCAGAGCAGCGTTGAGCGATTTGCGGAAGTCCTTAGCACCATGACCGTTTTCTGTTTTGTTATTTTCCTATTTTCGAGTATTTTGTAAGAATCGACTATATAATGTAATGGGCTGTAATTTGTTGAGGATGTTGAATGAAGAGAAACCCATTTTGCGGAGTTTAGCACTGACTCGAAGAGTGCAAATCCTACTAATTTTAGTATCAAAATACAACAACCAGTTTATAAAATAAAAAATATGGGAGTCATTAAGGGCCTGTTTAGATCGCTGATTTGAGTTGAAAGATGATTTTATGTGAGAGATTTTTACTGTATTAAAAAAGTTAAATGTGACAGTTTCTTAGAGCTTTTTACTGTAGTAAAACTCAAATTTTAAACTCGAATCGGTGAAATAAACGGGGCTTAAATTCAAAATGACATGTTCTTTACAATTCAGCTCAAATTACATGAAGGAAAATAGAAAATGTCGTTTTACTTGTTTAGGTAAAAACGGCGTGTCATTGGATAAGGTAAAATAAAAAAAAATAAAAAAATAAAAAAACACAGGCTTACGGTCAACATCCATCTGGAAAAAACATACGACGTATAAGACACTATTAACAACATCTATACCAGATACGACACGTCCACTAAACGACATACGACATCTAGTTCAAGTTAAACAGTGCACGACATGATGAACAAAGACACAGCATACGACGTCTAGTTCAGGTTAAACAATGCAAACGACATACAACGTGCGGTTTAGTAAAATAATATGGTTGTTTATACTTCACAGTACTTGTTCACCACCAAGAGGATATAACGACGTGTAGCTATGGAGGAAAAGTGATACCAAACGTCATAAGGCATGGCATTTAACAAGACGAGTAGACGACAGTACATTAGAAGTCTTCAATATGAGATGACATGAAGCAAATAATTACTTATGCCCCGTTTATTTCACTTATTCGAGTTTAGAATTCGAGTTTTGCTATAGTAAAAAGCTCTCAGAAACAATCACATCTAACTTTTTTACTACAGTAAAAAACTCTCATATAAAATCATATCTCAACTCGAATTAAAAACTTAAATTAACGAACTAAACGGGCCTGATCGTTTAATGAAGTGAGTCAGCGTCATTCGTTAATATGAAGTGCAATATTGAATGCGTTTGGAATTCGTTTCAAAATGATTTTATTTTTTATATGAAAATAAAAATGAAAATGTTTTTAATTTTAGACAAAAATCATTTTTAAAAATACGTTTGATAGTTTTATCAAGAGATTATTTTCAGTATAAAAAAATTCGTTAATGTCTTTTTCTCTCTCTTTGTGCTCGAGAGAGGAGAAAACAGAAACAAAAAATAAAAAACGACTAAAAGTCGTTTTTCATTTCTCTCTCATTTTACACTAAATCAAAAAATTATTTTCATTTTCATTTTTTATTTTTAATTGTGTCAAACGTCATTTCTCTCTATTTTTATTTTTTTTCTTAAAAAACGTGAAAAATAAAAACAAAACAAACTCCAAACAGACATTACAACTTTTTCACGAATAAATTTATATTTAAAACAACGACAACATGAAAATTTGTATTACGATAAAGGAAACCTACATATGGTCTTCAGGTTAAAACGACAAAATGCGGTACCTCCTTTATATTGGCTCGAGACTAAAAAGTACCAAGTTTTATCCAACCAAGTCCAACAACAGGAAAGTCGTTAACTTGAGACGACATGTCGTGTTAAGGAAATATTAGAACATAATATTTATAGGAAATAGGAAAACAATACAAAAAAAGAAAAAAAAAAAAAACCTAGTGATATTCGTTTTCCCGTATATAGGTTGAACGACGTTTTCTCCACGTAATTTTTTTTTTTTTGGTGTATGGATTATCAGAAAGTGATTCAGTTGTCACAATACGACAAAAATAAAATAAAAGAAAATGAAAAAAAAAAACCTCATGTTTCTTTTGAATTTTCAAAAAAAAAAACCCCATGTTATCAACATAAGCAATTTCCATGTGCTTTTTCAGCATTTTCGTACATTTTCTCGGGGATATTTCTTTTTTTTCCGCGAAAACTTGTTGGACACCGCAAGCTAAAGTTCTTTGGTTCGAGTTAAAAAGAGTACAAAGCAAAGGAGACTGACTGCCTAAACCCCACCTCCAACATTCACACCGCCGACCGTACCTCGCTCTCTGTTTTCTGGTTCAAATCTCTCTCTCTCTCTCTCTCCCTCTCTCTCTCTCTCTCTCTCTCTCTATATATATATATAGTCTTCTTCTTCTTCATCGATCGTATCCTTCTGATTTCCAAACTGCTTTCGGACTCGATCTTTCTGTACAGCTCGTCGTAGAAATTTATATTTTTCTAGTTTTTGTTTGTTTGAACTTGGAAATTACACGACTAGCTTTTCTTTAACCCTAAAATTTGGGAGTGCTTAATCTCGTTAGTATTCTTTTCTTTGGAGGGGTTTTTTTTTTTTTTTTATATATAAATAAAATCTTCCTCCTTTCCTGCTCACTTTACCTGAATTCATCGATTATGTATACATATAATGGTTAATCATATTGTTGGGAATCATCAGTGGATTAATTATCAGTCACATTATTTGAGGGATTAAATTAAGGATTGAAACTTCTCCGATTTTATGTGTTTTGTATGATGTTTTCTGTTGGTAATTTTTGTGCATCCTTTCTGTATACAGGAGTTACGCTGATGGCAGAGGAAAAGGTGGACACAACACATGTCCCAACTGAGGAAAATGGGACTGTAGAGCCTTCAAGTGGCAATGAAGATCCTGCTGA